AGGTTACGTACTCTTGCCAGTAGCAAGAGTATTACTATTATGCTCCCAATGGACTGAGGCAGAATCCTGGCAAAGGATTGCTCTCGCTTTCCAGCTGTTCATACTCCCCGAGCACACCCTCCACTTTTAGTTTTAGGGTATGGAGCCCCCCCCCCCCTACTAGTATGGCATGAATGTGTTCGAGCTAGAGACCATAACGCTTTGGCCCCACCCCTCGATCTTCCCTGTTTTGAAAGTCTTTGGACACACTTGAGTTGGCCAGAAGATTTCATACTTCTCATTCTGGTCCAGTGGAGGAGGGGGGGGGGAGGAGGCGGCGGAGGAGGAGGAGGCGGACGAGGAGGGGGTGAGGCGGAGGAAGACAACTGAGGGGAGGAAGAGGAGGAGGAGGAGGAGGAGGAGGAGGAGAAGGGGAGAGAGAGAGAGAGAGAGAGAGAGAGAGAGAGAGAGAGAGAGAGAGAGAGAGAGAGAGAGAGAGAGAGAGAGAGAGAGGGAGGGAGGGAGAGAGAGAGAGAGAGAGAGAGAAAGAGAGAGAGAGAGAGAGAGAGAGAGAGAGAGAGAGAGAGAGAGAGAGAGAGAGAGAGAGAGAGAGAGAGAGAGAGAGAGAGAAGGTTGAAACTATTGTGGACAAGTCAATGCAGTGCATGCAGGTGATGCAATCTATCCTCAAATCAGTCAAATGACAATGCTGGCGCGATGGTTCTCGGAATCTTTGCGCAATCATGGACTCTTATATTTAAAAAAAACAAAAAACAATAATAGTGACTTCGAAAAGTGACTTGGCAAGTGCGTCCAACCTGAGTGCATGCACTAGTGGACGTATGGTAGATCTTCCAAACGGGCCATTTAATTGCTTCAACTAGTCCACGTACAAATCGAGTGTACACGCACGTGATGTATTCTCTTCGTGTGTTGGTTCAGAGACATGGTGGCTGAAGTAATAAACAGCGCAGTCTGAGACAAGTCCTCCAACTCTCCAGCCTAGTCCAGGGCTTTACAGTGTTTACACGTAGTCTTAAAAACTTGCTGTGGTCTTTGTGGTGACCCAACCCTGAGGCGGTTCTGAGGACGCTTTGTTCTGGTGGTATCACTAAAGAGTACGCCCGATTTTGTCATTGACAAGACTGAAAGACTGTGCCCTCTACTACAGTACTAGTCTGGCACCTTTGCAGTTGAATTGAAACTTAGCAATCCTATTACTGCAGTTCTCTTTTAATTTTAAACTCAGCACTGATATTTATGATGGAGGTTATCATGGTTATGGTGTAGTGTCTGCCAACCTGTTCGTGTCTGAAGCACTTTGGACTTATACCAGAAAGTGTAACAGGCTGACAGCACTAGCCGGAGGAACTTGCAAGCTCTGAGGCTTCACAACTCTTTACTCTCGAAATCAATTCCACAATGCAATGAGAAAGAATGATGGGTTTATATAGGCCAGAGGGAGAGAGCAGCTGGGAGTGAGGGCAAAAGAAAGCAGGAGAACAACAGGACAAGAAACAGTGCGGGGGAAGAATGGACCTAAGTGGCGAGCAACGGGTGGGGCAACAGGAATGACATCTAAAACTGTGTAGCGAAAGGGATCTTACTTGTAGGGCTAGTTATTGGAGCGGGAAGGATGCCGGGAAATACGCTATTCAAAGAAGAGAAGCTGAATAGAGCGAGGGAATCTTATACATGATGATTAAGAGGGCCGGGGGATACGCAATGGTGCATGAAGTAAGACTACAGTCTAGTACAGGAATCAATGTAATGCATAGTACAGTGTGAATGGGCGCTATAGCCTCATGCCGTACCGGTCTTGCAAGCAGGGCGATCTAGTCCTAAGTGGTAGCGCGGGAGAAGCACTTAGAATGTACATGTACCTGTAAACTACAATGTAACTAGGAGGTTGTGTGATAGTGACAGTCAGGGATACTACATTCGCCCCTCCTCCGTTGAGACACGTCCTCGTGTCTACGGGACGGATGTTTGTGAAAAGACAGACACATGCATCTAGAAGTAATTCGGTGGACGGATGAGCTGGCGATTGCGGAGATTGTATGGAGGTAAAGCAGGGGGTGGCGGCAGCTGAGGTGGCGGAGCATGGAGAACGGGTTGATCGTAATCTGGAGGGTGGATGACAGGCGCATACTGAATTGGGTTCGGCGGTGGTTCTGGACGTGGAAGAAAGCGTTTGAGACGGTCAGCATGGACAACCTGGCGACGGAGTGTGTTTGGATCTTGAACTTGGATGGTGATGTCATCGATGACACGGGTTACCTGGTAGGGTCCAGTCCAGTACCTGTGGAGTTTTGCTGATGTGCCTTGGGGAACGACAGGGCTGTAGAGCAGAACAGAATCACCGGGGTTGTATGTAGTAGGAGAACGGGCGGTATGGTCATAACCATCTTTCTGGCGTGTAACGGCGCTGGCGTTGTTTTCGCGGGCAAGTTTGAAAGCATACTGAAATGATGATTTCAGGGCTTGGACATACTCAGGGTGCTTGGTGGGCTGCTGGGCTGGCGGGAGGTCGTGAAGGAGGTCGACGGGAATGGTGGCTTCTCGTCCGTACATCAATCTGAACGGGGTGAAACTTGTGACCGAGTTGTGGCTCGTGCGGTAGGCGAACAGTACTCGTTGTAGGTGGAGGTCCCAGTCAGTGTGTTTCACGACACAGGTAGAGAGCATCTTCTCGAGAGTGCGGTTGAATCGTTCAATAAGGCCATCTGATTGTGGGCGGTACGGTGTTGTCCGGGTCTTGTTGATCTCAAGGAGTTTGCAGACGTGCTGGAAGACATGTGACTCAAATTGCGGTCCTTGGTCAGAATGAAGCGAGAGGGGAACACCATGGCGACAGATGAAACCATCCACTAGACATGTAGCGACTGTAGTGGCGAGAGTGTCCTGCAGGGCATAGGCTTCGTACCATTTCATGAAGTAATCCCCCACTACTAGAATGTAACGGTTACCTCTAGCAGTGACAGGAAGTGGGCCCATGATATCGATACCTACTCGCTGGAGAGGAAATGAAGACTGGTGTGCTTTGAGTGGCGCTCTTGGGCGAGGTACGGGAGCTTGACGTTGCTGGCACTGGGGACAGGTCTTGACCCATTCGGTTATGTCGGCTGTCATGTGTGGCCAGTAGTACCTTTGACGAGCACGGGCCAGTGTGCGAGAAGTGCCGAGATGTCCGGAAACAGTAGAGTCATGGATAGCGTGGAGAGCTTCATCACGGAGAGCTGTGGGGAGGACGAGCTGTAGAGTCACTGTGTTGCCATCATTTACATAGCGGCGATGGAGTAATCCATTGTGTAGGAGAAGACGGTTGGACTGGGTCCACAGGCGAATAGTAGCAGAGCTGACATGTTGAAGACGGGCATCACCTCTGGCAGAAATGTCGGTGCTAGAGAGCCAGAGATGGACAGGTCTAATCTCAGGATCAGCTGTTTGAGCAGCAAGCAGGGCGGCAGTAGTCCAGGTAGGTAGCCAAGAGTCTGGGTGAGCGGGTTCTGGGATGATAGCAGCGCAAGCAGGGTGAGCAACAGGGAGGGGTAAGCGGGATAGAGCATCAGCAGTAACATGAGCTTTGCCAGGGCGGTGTTGAGCATCATAGTCAAAAGCATCCAGCTTTTCAATCCACCTAGCTACAATGCCATCTGCATCTTTGAAACGGGACAGCCAAAGGAGTGCCTGGTGATCAGTGCGTAGGAGGAACTTGCGACCCAAAAGATAATGCCTAAAATGGTGAGTGAAATGGACAACAGCAAGCAATTCTCGGCGGGTAACAGGGTAGCGGCGTTCAGCGCGAGACAAAGTGCGGCTAGCATAAGCAACTGCATACTCACGACCCGTGGAGTCAGACTGGGATAGGACGGCCCCAATAGCGATGTCACTGGCGTCGGTGTCGATGATGAACGGCCGGGTGGGATCAGGGTAGCGAAGGATCGGAGCGGACGTCAGGCGCTGTTTGAGCTTGGTGAAGGCTTGGTCAGTTACCGGTGTCCAGACGAATGGCGCTTTCTTCTTGGTTAACTCATGGAGTGGCTTGGCAATCATTGAGAAATCCTGGATAAAGCGGCGATAGTAGGAGGTGAACCCGAGGAAACGACGTACTTCCGTAGCGTTAGTCGGTTGAGACCAGTCACGAACAGCATCGTACTTGGTTGTGTCGGGCTTAACGCCATCACAGGTGAAGATGTGGCCCAGGTAGGTAACAGAAGAACGCAGTAGGGAGCACTTACTAGGTTTGACTTTGAGACCCGCATCGCGAAGACGGGCGAGAACTATGGCCAGACGTTCCAGGTGTTCGTCCAGAGAGGTCGAGAAAACGATTACCGTATTTCCGCAAATAAAAGGCCGTCCTCGTTTACAACGCCTTCCTCGTATATAAGGCCGGGGCAGGGTCCGATTGAAAAATAAAATACCGTCTCCGATTAGAAGACCAGGCCTACTAAACGAGTCTTTGTTCTTGTGTTAAAAATAGAAGACCGTGCTCAAACTGTGGGAAAAATAGAAGACCGTGCTCAAACTGTGTAGAAGAAAATGGAAGAACGGGGGTAAAACTGTGTGGCGAGAAATAGAACCGGGGTCAAACTGGGTTGAAAGAATAAAAGACCGTCCTCGAATACAAGACCGTCCTCAATTATAAGGCCGGGTTAGGACGAGGTTGAAAAAAATAGTAGACCGGCCTACTATTTGTGGAAATACGGTATGTCGTCTAAATACACTACACATATTCTGCCAACTAGGTCGTTGAGGACGGTGTTCATGAGCCTTTGAAACGTTGCGGGTGCGTTGCAGAGACCGAAGGGCATGACGTTCCAGTTGTACAAGCCGAATGGTGTAGTGAAGGCGGACTTTTCTTTGGCGGACTCGTCGAGCTCTACTTGCCAGTAGCCGGAGGCTAGATCCAATGTTGAGAAGTACTGTGCACCGTGCATGCAGTGGAGAGCATCATCAATGCGCGGCATTGGAAAGGCATTCTTCTTGGTGACATTGTTGAGCTTCCGATAATCCACACACAGGCGAATGGAGTTATCCGGCTTCTTCACAACCACGATAGGAGCGGCCCAGGGGCTGGACGATGGGGTGATTTTCTCTGATGCTAGCAGGTCGTTGATGTGGTCTTCGACTGCTGCAGCTTGGTGGATCGGTAGACGGCGTGGAGCTTGGCGAATCGGGTGAGTAGAGCCGGTGTGAATTTCGTGCTTGATGATGTCCGTGCGACCTACATCCGACGGTCCAGTCGAAACACAGTCGGCGTACTCATGAAGAAGTGGAGATAGGCGGGCCTGCATGTCTGGCGTGAGGTGGGAGAGATCAAAGGCAGCGGCTGGGGCTGGAGGGACTGCATCGGGCTGTGGGACAGCAGCACTGCACTGAGGAAGAGAGTCGTCGATAGCACCCGGACTGACAGCAGCAACGAGGGTACCTTTTGGAAGGCAGCGTGGTGTTGACTGAGTATTCAGGACCCGGAGTGGTATGAGGTTATCGTTAGACGGGATGACCGCAGCAGTGGCGAATACTACATCATACTTATCCATGCAGGACTGTGCTGATTCCACTACTAGAGGATGGTCCGTACTGTGCTGGTCGGGACTGTCGGCGAGGCGACCTTGTACAATTAGCTGGGAAAATGGTGGGATCGTACATGCAGCAGTGAGGTGTACTGAATTGGCAGTTGTGGGAATGTTACTTACTGAGCGGACTGGAGGCGTGGATGTGGCAGAGATGACGACATCACCTATCGACAGGGTGGAAGCAGAAGCATTGACGATACCACTGTGTGTCGTTAGGAAGTCGAGGCCAAGGACTACATCTGGTTGGATATCGGCGATGAGAACAGAGTGGTTGAGCTTCAGGACACTATTGAAGGAGAACGTGAGATCACACTGGCCGTGTACGGTGATAGGTGAACCACTGACGGAGATCATATTGAGTGTGGAGCGTTGCATAGTCAGAGTTGTTGGCAGATCTTTCCAGAGAGTGCGACTGACAATTGTTACGGAGGACCCAGTATCCACGAGTGCGTGAGTATGCATGTCCTGCAACAGTACTGGGACATAGAGAGGAGGAACAGCACGGGCAGCAGAAGCAACAACAGGGGGAGCAAAGAGGGACTGTATGCATGTGGGTACGGTGATGTATTGGAAATAGGTAGCGAGGGCGAGCGCACAGCAGCATAACACAAAGAAGACATAGGCGTCGGTCATAAAAAGAACACGGGCAATGCACAGAACTAGAAAGCAGACTACGAGAAAGAGAGCAGGCCTGGTGTCATAGCGTGGTGTGACAGACTTACACATGCCACCAGGAGGAGTCCCTAGATTGGAGGCCGCTGCCGGTCCCGGACTCACTGGGGCAGCGGGCGGCGGTTTCCCTGGTGTTGGAGTGCTCGGCAGTCACGGCGGACGTGGCCCAGCCTGCCACAGTGCCAGCACTGGACGGTAGGAGAGCGGCGGATGCCTGCTGCGGCTGGTCGAGCTGGTTCAGGAAACTGTCGAGGGTTGCTCAGCTTGGCCTCCAGAAGGTCCAGACGATCCAGCAACTTCGTCAGGAGCTGTGTTGGCGGGTCCGCGCTGGCTGTGGCGAAGACGCTGACAGGCGCTGGGGCCGACGGGATCACACTTTCCGCTTGGTGAATGGCGTCATACTGTAGTGCGGCCTGGAGCGCCTCGTCCAGGGTGGCAACATTGAGTTCGCGGATGCGCACCCGCATGGCCCGGGAGTCGAGTCCCGCCAGGAATTGGTCCTTGGAAAGAAGGTCTCTATCGCCGTTCTGCATCTGAGGATACGCTAGGCGTCCCAGTTCCCGGACTGCCTCACAGTGTGCACCCAAGGACTCTTTGTCCTGCTGCCGGCGAGCTTGGAATTCGGCACGGTGCAGGTCTCCTCGTTGGGGAGGCGCGAACCTGGCCTGCAGTGCCTGGGCGAGGGTTTGTAGCTGGCCCTGGCGTACGGCTTGAGGGAGGGCCTGGTAGAAGAGAAGAGCCTCGCCTTTCAGAGCCAGGGGCAGGAACTGGACTGATTCCTGAGGCGTCCAACCATTCACCAGTGCCACTTGCTGGAACTGGAGCCACCAAGACTCCCACCTGTCTATGCCTGCGCCTGAACATTGCCGGAAGATAGTGATTGACTGTGTCTGCTACAGCTAGCCGTACACTACAGTACAGGGCCCACTTCCTGTGCGAGAGAGCACAACTCATGACCAGAAGGATGACCATGATGACTGCCATCATGAGAAACCATCGCGAAGTCGTAGATAACTGTTGACACATAACCATGATTATAACCGGACTAGATCAGTATGCAGTGTGTCAGTATTTTGCAAAATAAATTTGCACTCATATCTTGATTCACCAAAAATGCACGCTATCTAGTATCTACACGACCTGAGCTGATGACACTTGACAGTTCGTAGATCTACAACACATTACCATGATTACATGATTTGATCGCCAAGATCAGATTCACAGTCAGCTGGTCCGAAGGCGAAGATTTGCTTTTTCCAATATTTTTAATCTCCGTGTTGAAGCTCACCGGTGCACCGTAGACGTCTACCGCTAAGCTCACACCTCCGAGCCTCACCCCGCAAACAACACGATGGCAGGGACAAGCAGTTCAGCTACCGTTCTGGTCTTGCTGTTTTCGCTGTTCCTTGTTGCTGAATGTCACAAGCACGGTGGCCGACATCGTGCTGATAATGATGGATCGTCAGCAGTCGCCACGGTGGCACCGTCAGCCGAACAAATCCACGTTTCATTCGGCCGTAGCACTAGCGAGATAGTGGTGATGTGGTCCTCCAGGAACAGCAGTAAAACTAGCAGTGTTCAGTATGGCGGCAGCAGCAGTAGCAGTCCACTTACTGAAAACCTGAACGTGTCGGTTGCTGCTGAGTGCTGGCAGTTCACTGAAGGCAATCCTGATGGCGTCCAGTGGCTTTATCGAGCCAGGCTTCAGGTAAGGCATGGCCATAATACCATACTCCGAGACTCGAAAAATCATAGTGGCGATTATAGTTTTTGGGGGATCCAAACTAACTTTCGCCGGTGTCACATAGTACTATCCCCCCCCTAGCGCTTGCCCCCCCCCCCTCCCCGGGGAAAAGTACTATGCACCGGAGTATAGTGATTGGACCCCGGGGAACTTTACTATGCAGTGTTTGTACCCCCCCCCCCCCGGGAACTTAACTACGCAGCAGAATGCCCCCCCCCCCCACACACACACACATCACTGAACCAGGTACATGTAGAGAACAAGACTACAGTACAGACTACATACAGTACACGCCTGGGAAATAATAATATTTGAAACTTAGCTCAATATGGTTTCGCCAAAAACTGCTTTATTTCTCGCCCACAAGAGCTTCCCTGGTGATATAGTCTTGATCCGAGGCAATGTTTCGGTGTATGTGGGCATTGACTGCCCTCAGTTTCGAGAAAAGCTCCAAGCGATAATCCTTTCCTTCGCTTTCTTGCCAGAGTTCTCAAGACCAACACAACAGTGTTGTGGTACACAATTCGTCGTCAAAAAGTACTCAGCGTAGATTTCGTGCCGAATTCCACCCCAAACAATTTACGCTGACCTCTAGCTCTCGCCACCAATTGAACCCACTGATATATACATCTACACGAGCAATGGTTCGAGTCAAAAGGACAACTTCGCAATGAGCGTACTTTCTCAGGGTAATATTCTACATGTACATGACCGTATATTTTATACCTATGGGCATGGAACTAATACCAGTATTAGTTCCAACGAATGATGTGTGGTGCTCTTGGACGTGTGTACATGTATAATTTTTGGTGGTGACAGTCAATTTTTTCTTTAGACTTTTCCCCTTTCCATTCCCTCAACTTATGAGTACATGTATACTCGTAATTATAACACCATCGAGATGACAAAATGACAAGCAGAAAGACATGAAATTGCTTCCTTTATGTACAAGTGTATGCTCATACTATTTGGGATGCTTTGCTGTTTTCCGTGGCACGACAAACAGTAAAGCATCCCAAATAGTATGAGCATGCATTTGTACATAAAGGAAGCCTTTGTTGCCAGTAAACACTGGCTGCGGACATGAACATTATCCTGCCGAGCAGAGCATTAGTACAAACACAGACACACACGCATGCACACACGCACATACAAGCATGCACACACATGCACACATGCACACACGCACACACACACACGCGCGCGCGCGGCAGCTTGCTACAAGAGAATCATGCTAGTAATGCACTTCACAGGCCATTAGCACATGCACCGGTTTTGGGCTGTGACAGACAGTAACGAAGAGAGGGAAAGAAAGAAAGAGAGAAAGAGAGAGAGGGAGAGAGAGAGAGAGAGCCAGAGAGACAGAGAGAGAGAGAGAGTCAGAGAGACAGAGAGACTGAGACAGAGACACAGGTAGACAGACACACACACCACACACATACACACAGACAAACACACATACACACACACACACACACACACACACACACACACACACACACACACACAAAGAGACTGAGACACACAGTGGGACCAGAGCATGACAAGGCATCAGCTGAGGAAACCAAGAAATTGTAAAGTTCAAGCAGTGCATGGTTATGTTCTTTCAGGGTAAACAGTGCCAAAAAGGGAAGTGCAGAGCTGGGAGAAGTGCAAGTTGGGAATACCAAAAGCAGAAACAGGTTCACATAATGACAGCAAGTGATGTTCAGCATCGGGCTACTGAAGTACTGGTAAGCATCACTTGATTTGTGACTCTTCCAAAGCACACCAGACAAAGTAGATGGCAAAATTGCTACACCCTAAGCAGTAGGAGTACTTTCTTGGGTGGATACCTGTGCCGCTAGAGTCTGGCACCAACCTGGTATCTTACAACTACTGGAAGGTTAAGCCAGTCAGCCACGGCCGAAATCTCATCAGTCACGGGTACCCTACCGGCACTCACGGCCGAAATCTCATCAGTGGTAGCCCACACTCCCGGGTGGTGCATCATTGTTGCTATAAGATACTCTGCTGCTGGATTGGGATTATCCCCAAGGTCAATCATACAATGGAAGCTAGCTGAAGCGCTTTCGTGCTTGGGAGCATGTTTCAAAAACCTCTTCTTGGCTTCTTTGTGAGGATGATAGATATCTGACTGGGCACTAGCGGCAGAGTGAAGCTCAACAGGTGAACGCATCAGCTGAACGTATACAATAAAGTAGGGAGACAGCTTTGTGGACGATTGCTTGTTGCTGCTGTGATACTATTCCACTCCTTCTGGGATTCTATCACCATCTGTCAAAGTGGGCGAAGAAGGGTTCGGGTGAATCGCTCCGTGAGACCATTTGACAGTGGATAATAAGCACTGCAGATTTTTGTTCTACCTCCATGTCCTTGCACAGCAGCTCGTTCCCGTTGCTCACAAACTCTCGGCCTTGCTCACTGATAATGGTGTCGCGACAGCCAAACCTCGACACAACGCACTGAATGAGTGCATTGCAGACACGGTTGATGTACACTTATCTGGGATTGTCTTGGTTTCGGCCCACCAGCACAGATACTTGGTGAACACCACGATGTACTGTTGGCTATCTGGTGTCAACTTCAGTATGCCAGCAAGATCCATACCCCAGGCTTCGCATGTACATGGAGAAACCTTCTCCACAGCACAGCATCATACATTTCTTTCCACCAGTAACGCTCCAAGATCTTATTGAAAGTGGCAGCCTCCTGCTAGATTATAACCACGAGCAGCACGCACAATACGGTCTTTGTCTCGTTCCTTTGGGACCTCTCGCATTGAGTTTGGACGCCGCTTCGTTGGTGAGTGAAACAGCACCCCATCCTGAACTAAGACAGTGTCAAACTTCTTCCTGAAGTTCTGCTTCAAGTAAGTTTTTTGCTTCTACGTTCTACCTTGTCGTCCATCCATGGCAGAACTACAATGCAGAGAAGGAAGGAACGAGCTGAAAGTAAACGTCACTCGAACTAAAATGATCTGAAAACGAAAGCCACAAAGGACAATGAAATCTGGAAGGAACTTTACTTGAAAAATTCAAATGCACGGGTGAATGAGTAGTAAAATACCGGTAGTTTACTACTCCCTACCACAGATAGCTCGGCCCTGAGCCTTCTCTTTGACTGGCGAGGGGGACATCCACTACATAGCCATTTTCCCGGGGGGGGGGGGGGGGGGGGGGAGTGCGACGTAGTACTCTTCCCGGGGAGTCAACCTGCTATATAGTACTCTTCCCCAGGGGGTCAATGTACTATATAGCAGATTGCCCGGGGGGGGGGGGGACAAATTCTGGGGGGGGGGACAAATTCTGGGGGGGGGGGGGTGACTATACTATGTTACACCGGCTTTTGCTCCACCTTGTCCATGATTGTACTAGTACCGGTAGTAGTACAGTGCTGGCAACTGAAATCCGCCCAGGGGGTCGGATTTCAGTTGCCAGCACTGTACTTCGAAGCGGTACAAACAGTAGACGCGGTATGGAATATGCCCAGCTCAGAATGCAAAATTTCCCTTCCATCAGCTACACCAACTAGGTACATGTAAGCCTTGTAAAACAGAACTCTGGGGGAAAACCCCCACACACCCATTTCACTCTGCATGTTTAGAAGAGTATCTCTTTGTCGTTGTTACTATAATCGAGTGGCACATTCGCACTACAATTCTACGAGTGCTAGTTTGAAATTACAGTAGGTATCGGTTATAGCGTGGGTGTTTGAAAAACGACATTTGATTCTTATTGCCGATATTTCTTACACACGATAAATCACGTGTGACATATCATATGCACGTGTGACATCATGCATATACATGTACATATGCACGCACGTTTGGCATGTGGACACGTACACATGATACACGTACACCACGGGTGTTTGCAGTGCATGAACTCTGGCCAGTCGTCCCCGTACGCAAAATGCGTACGCATTTGTATTTACCGTACATTTCCTCGTGTTTTGGGCGAATCTGAGCAGTACGACGCTGTCGAATTGGGCCTGAATTTGCCCTGAACCAGCCGCTATCGAAGTAAAATTAGGTGTTTTGAAGGTCACACGGGAACGCTGCGGCCATGTCTTCTTTCCTGCGTCGTTTGTTTGAAAATCGGCGTGTTTTTGAGCTCGTAGTTCGTCTTCGTTGTGGAATGGCTGTGCGTACATTCTCCTTGGAATTACCAAAGTCTCACCCCCGTTTATTACATTACTAAGAGTTTTGCCGGCAGCCACGATAGTTTTTATCCCTGCTTCCATACGTCCTTTCATTGAACAGCCAAACAAAACTTTGTGGCGCGCCTTAGTTTTTTGTGGCGCGGGGGTCTCAAGTTTGTCACTTCGAGTTGTACACAACAATCACATCAACACCTCAAAGGACCAAAAAACCAAGTGAGCAAGTATTTCAACCTTGCGATTCTGCCAGGCCTACTCTGAAGATGGAGACTTCTACTCGGTAGCACATACTCGTATCAATAAGCTGGGAGGGAGAGCGTGGCGAGTAAAATGTTGGGATAAAAAGAGCCACATTCTCTCTCGGAAAAGGTCGTCCGTTCCTGCACTGGCTACACACTTGCTCTACCCAGCTCTGCAGAAGGCTAGATTTTGCATGCACGTGCGAGATTCGCATCCGCCGCGCACATAGGCAGAGTCGAAATTTTTGTACTCTCGGATTTGCCGCCATCTTGACGAGTGGCCACTGCGAAACACCCGTGACACACGGATCAATCAGACTCGCGGTCGTGCTAGGCGACTGCGGAGCAGCGGATACGAGAGAAGTCGGAAGAAAGAGTCCGACTGGACAGAAAAAGTGATTCTCCAATGCTCCCTTGGATATAACTCTCTTTTTGTGTTGAATATGATTGTATTGAGTATGCACAGAGCACAGATGTTATTACTACAGGCGATATACTTTGCACTAATCTGGCATATTTTGCTACACAAAATCCATTCTTAGGGCCGATATATTCTACTATGCG